AAAGATTTTCAAGGATTTCTAAAGGTCTTCAAACTTATTTTACAAAAGGATACCAAGTCATGATTTTCTTAAGTGTAAAGGTTTTTCTAAAGTTTTCATCAAAGTTTTCTTCCATGCTTCTATGCTTCTACTTCGTTAAACGCTACTACTTTGTTAAATGCTACTACTTCATTAAATGCTTCTACTTCGTTAAACGCGTATACTTCGTTAAACACTTCTACTTCGTTAAACACTTCTACTTAGTTAAATGCTTCAACTTCGTCAAATGCTACTACTTCGTTAAACGCTTCTACTTCGTTAAATGCATGCATGTACTTGTATAGTTATATAAATAATGTTTAAAGGACTTAGGAAGGCTAGTTCGCCCTATTTCCTTTTCCTCATTTGGATATGGTCTGGTGGGATCGGATATCCGTCCGAAGGTCATTTAATCATTAATTATATATCATGTATACATGTATAGACATGAAGGTCGTTCAACGATACATTAGATGGGTTTATGCGTACATATTCATTTTAGTATCACAGGCATTTGACATAATCTACTAGTCAACATAGAGAACTCCTTGTTATTGATAAATCCAATTGTTGTTTTTGGAAGGTAGCTACCCCAGTAAAGGGTGTTCATGGTTAAAATCTTAACTCGAGAATTTTATAACTCCTTTTTTGACTTATATATTGTTCAATGCTAAACATTTTCTTGGAAATTTTCAACAAATAGTGGGGGAAGCAACATTGATATTAGTATAGGTAAGACTACCTCTAGAAGATCATTATCAAAAACATTGATTTTGGTTTCATAAGTATTGTTACTTTACATTACATACACTTATCTAAATGCATAAATTTTGGATGTTAAAAATATGATATTGTATACATACAAAGATTTGCAAATTGCTACTGAAGATTTCAAACCTAACAATAAGATTGGGAAGGGGAATCTGGATCTGTTTACAAGGTGCTTTTTAAATATTTCCAACCATTATTCTTCATGTGTTTAGAATATCACCAAGCTACTTACTACTATCTTCAATACACTTTTTTTAATTTCTAGGCATTTCTAAAACATGGAAAATTAGTTGCTATAAAGCTTCTCTTTGTTGAATCAAGTCGGGGTTTGCGAGAATTCTTGACTGAAATAACTATTACTTCAGATATACAACATGAAAATTTGGTGAAAGGAAAGTGAAATTATCTACCTGTCGGATTGTCTCTACCACTTCTTATGAAATGTTTGTGTTTCGTAAAAAGATAATTTAATGTAATGTTTTTTTAATATTAAATGTTTGTGTTTTATAAAAATATATTTTTTTATGTAACACTTGTTTGCCTTATTGGGTCAGAGTAGGGCTTAAAGGAGACTAAGGCATGATTTTTGGGAAAAGTCATGTGTCACGATGTGACAAGACAAATTAAAGAACATATATTTAGAGGATTAGTCACGACGTGAAAAGGGTTGTAGCCCAAGCCCATGATCTAATAGGGTTTCCTTCATATTTAAGCACCCTAAACTCAGATTTAGGGTTCATTTCTTAGCCTCCATCTCTCTCAAACCTCATAAGGCCTAGCCCTAGTTTATCTTTGTGGTTTTGGCTTATTTTGGTGGTTTTGGTGCTCTTTGAAGGAAGTAGAAGAAGGATTGGTGCAAGGATCAAGCAAGCAACACTTTCTCATCTTTGATATCACCTTTGTACCATTTGTGAGGATTCAAGCTTCTACTTTTATGGTTTATTCTCTTAGATCTAAGTTGTTTTAATCCCTTTTGGTCCATGGTTTTGATTTGAGTGAATGGATCGAATAAAGTTGGAAACTTTATGGTCCTCTAGAGTCCCTAGAGCATCGTATCTTATGGATCTAAGGATTGGTTGTGGATTGTAAACCTTGTATGAGCTAAGGTCATTTCATTGCCTTTTGACCTAGGTTGGGTAGAGGACATGCATGTCCAAAAAGTTTTCATTTTTATGAACCTCTAGAGTCCCTTAAAGCTTTCTGGAAAGTTGAAGTTGAAGACTTAATGGATTAATGACTCAATTCATAAGGATGTTTCTCGGTTGGTGGTCACGATGCGATGATGGTGGATTCCTCGATTATTTCATCCCGATGTGTTCACGATGTGACCAAGGAGGGTTCTCGTCGTGGTGTCTGTTGTTTGGGTTGTCCATGACTAACTTGGCTGAGTTGGAGCGTGGCTGAGTTTGGATCGGGCTGAGTGTATTCTCACGACATGACCATGGGCTACTCACGACGTGACGGTCAGTCATTCGTGATGTTGACTTTTGACTTTAAATTTTACCGTCGACTTTTTGACCAAGTTTGACTTTAGTTCAAATTTGGGTTTTGGGGATATATTTTGAGTTGCGATCCATGTTGGTTGTATAAGTGACCTTTAGTGCTTGTTTTTGGATCAATGAGTGGTGTTATTTCTTCTAGTATGTGTACTTTTGTGTAGGATGTTTTTATAGTGTAGTGATCCGTTAGATTGGTAGATCTGTATGATTACATGTGCTTTTTGGTTATTGATTAGTGTTTGAATATGTCGACATAGTATGATTGGGTTGAGGCTGTACTTCTTTGTGCTGTAAGCCAACAAACACGGGAGCAATCCAGTCATCAGCTATGAGCCAGGAGGGAATCCAGTCGTATGTTGTGGACTTGGGAATAATCATAAGATGAGGGTCGGGAGGGCATTCTAGTCTTATGTTGTGGACCTCAGAAGCAATCCAATCTTCGTGATGTGGTCCTAGGGGCATTAAGTGCTTAATGACTTAAGGCATCAAGTGCTTAATAGCAGAAGTGAGACTAGAGGGTAGTACGATGGGCCTACAAGCCATTATGTGAGTATGCACAGCGTAGTGCTGAGTACGCCCTGCGTACTTAGCCAAGTTGGATTTTGGACTTTGGGCTTCGGGTTTGGGCTATCGATTTGGGCCTAGATTCTTGGGCCCTAGTGGACCATCAGAGTGGTTGTGTTCTAGACTAATTGAAGGATTGGATCTTAGGTTAAGGCCCAATAAGGAGCGTGGGCCCAATTTGGAAAATTATGCCATTCATGGGCCTTTATGGATTTTAAGGTTTTGGACTTTGTGTTTTGGGCCCTATTGGGTCATCAGGTTTTGGAGTTGATATTTAGTTGTAGACTATTGGGTTTGGGCCCAATTTAGAAATTGGGCCATTAAAGGACTTATGGACATTATAGTGTCGAGCTTTTGTTTGGGGATTGGGCCTTAGTTTTGGATCATACTGGGCCAGGGGTAGAATGGTTATTTTACCCCATGCATGGATTAAGGAGTATGGTATGGGACCTAATTTCTAATTGGGTATATTGATAGGTAGTGACAGCTTGGGAAGCTGGTAGGGCAGCAACTAAGAAATTCATACGGGAAGCTTCTGCAGTGCGAGGTGAGTCTTCTCACCATACCAATGGGTCTAAGGCACCAAGACCGGCCCATTTATCTAGTTGTGATGATTTTTGTGAATGTACTACTGATACATTATGTATTTATGTGAATACCATGCGGGGGTTCCCATGGAAAATAGTTATATATACAATATGCTAATTAATTGTGTGGTATTTGGTATGCTAGGTGTCTTTATGATACTTGCATGGAAGACCCCAGGGGGTTCTTAAGGCAATTGGATATAAGACCATGTATGGGTTCCCATGGCTTTCCAGGCTAAGACCATGTGGGGGTTCCCATGGTAGTGGGCTAAGACCACGTGGGGGTTCCAGTGGCACCCGGTGTAAGACCTTAGAGGGTTTCCAGGGCATCCTTATATGTTTATATGTTTAGCTCATATGTTTATATGTATAGTTTGCATTATGTATTGTTTGGCAGGAAGACCTTATAGGGGTTCCCAAGGTAGGAAGACCATGTGGGGGTTCCCATGGTAGATAAGACCACGTGGGGGTTCCCGTGACACTAGGTGTAAGACCGTGGAGGGTTTCCATGGCTTCCTTATATGATTATATGTAGGACTTATGTGGTAGAGATAACTTTTACAGCTAATATGATATGTGTTATGTGGATTGTGTGTGGGGTATGCTCTGGGGAACTCACTAAGCTTTGTGCTTACGGTTTACAGTTTTGGTTTCAGGTATCATCGATTTGGAAAAGAAGAGCTCGGATTGATCGCAATGCACACACCTATGATTTTCCGTAATGAATGATTTTGGGATGAACTCTAATAAATGTTTTACTTAACGATGATTTGAAATGTTTGAAATAAATGGTATCAATGTTTTAGCTATATTAAAAATGAAATTTTTACGCTTGATTTTTGGGTCGTTACAACCCACTAACATTACCACTACCACTGTCGCCGCCACCACCACCGCCGCCACCGCTATCACTATCGTTGTCACTGTCACCACTAGCATCACCCATTACCACTGCTATCTACTACCACTACCACCACCACCATCGCCACCACCACTTCCACTATCATCACCTAGCAGCACTACCACTATTGACACCACCACCAACACCGCTACCGCTACCACTGCAGATAATTTACTATTTTATAATTTATATAATGTATCTTTATATATAAGTTAGACAATAAAATTTAGAAAAACAGACAAAAAGGTAATTCTATCTATTTACATGCATTTCAATTTTCTACGAACCAAACAGAATCTGAAATTAACTATAATTATATTTTCTTCAATCAAACAAGATATAAAATTATATTCAAATTGTTTATAGATTTATTTTTCAATTCCAATTATCGATTTTTCAATTTCAATTCTAATTACTTGAACCAAGTAGCCACTGTTTTCAAAACCGAATGGGACCAGCGGGTTGAACCGGGAACCGGTCAAGCAACCGGTTCTTCAGGACAAAAAACCGCCTAAAAACAAACTGGTAAGAACCACTGATTCAACCAAAAACCGGTAGTGAATCGGACTGGTCAAACCGGGAGAAAACCAACCAGACAAAAAAATTATAAAACTTTATACTTGATAAAAACAAATAGAACACACCTTTTATGGGAGGTCCATGCTCTGGTTTGTGAACCATTTACGCTTGTAGCTTCCGTTCCTTTTATAAAGCTTTCAAGGCTTCGAAGTTATATTTTTAGGCGATGTGGGATATAGCCTCTAAACAATCACCTGGCTTCATCTCACTTTCAAATGACTACCAATAGTTCTTTTATTTTTTATTCAAATATTTCAAAATTACCTAACATATATATATTTTTTTATTTTTTACGTTACCTTGATAATATATTTTAAAAAACTCAAATATAAATTATTAGAACTTGGTTTTTGTTGTTTATTTTACAAGTTTAAAAATGATATTATCTTATATATATATATATATATGATGTCGTCCGGTTCATCCGGTTTTTGAGACCGGTTCAACCGGTCAAACCACTTGAACCATCGACCCGGTAAGACGGTCGGTTCGATGTCCGGTCCGGTTTTCAAAGCATTGCAAGTAGCGCATTAGACTCAAGGAAGTGGTGCGGTTTTGGCCGCACGATTTGCCACATATGCAGTTAGGTCATACCTCACTCCTTTTTGGCCGTGTTTTTTTATTAGGTAATGGTAAATTTGACTCTTGAACGCTCAAAACTGTTAACATTTTTTTTTTTCTTTCCTATAAATTAAACCATTTACTTCACTTTTTCAAACCAAAACCAAACTTTTACATTTCTCTATTACATTGTCTCTCAAAATTAATAAAAATTGTCATCTTCTGAATCTTCTGAAGAATTTTAAGTTATTTTTGATACTTAATTTGGATCCACCGAATGACTCGAGAGGCGAGTTCTCGAAGAACAACTCTATGTAATATGGTTTAGTTATTTTATTTGTGTTTTTTTAAGTTATTTTAATCGTTTGATGTGTGCTTCTTAAGTTTGTAGGATTTTTTTTAAGGATTTAGGTCATTTTTGGTCACTTAACTTTTGGTTTTTTTTTCATTTGGTCACTTAACTATTTTTAAGTTTTAAAATGTTATCAAACTTTTGATTTTGTACTCATTTAGTCACTTAACTTTTGATTTGGACACATTTAGTCACCCAACTTTTAGATTTGTGTTCATTTAGTCACCTAACTTTTAAAATTGTGGTAATTTAGTCATTAAACTTTTAAAAAATTTAAAAGTTTAGTAACTAAATGAACACAATTTTAAAAGTTTAGTGACTAATGTGACCAAAACAAAAGTTAAGTGACTAAATGAGCACGAAGCCAAAAGTTTGATAACCTTTTAAAACTTAAAAAGAGTTAAGTGACAAAATTAGCACAAAACCAAAAGTTAAGTAACCAAAAATAACCTAAATCTTTTTTTTTTAATGTTGTGTGTTTTTTTTTAGTCAACCAATGTAATGTTTTTTTATTTTGAAGTATTGAAAATTATGTTTTTTCTTTATTAAAAAAGAAGTTTTATTTAATTAAATTATTAAAAAAAATATAGTACCACATTTTTGGGTGGAGCAAGAAACCATACTTATATTATAAAAAATGATGTGGGTATGCGGACACCGTCTTAGTCGTTTTTTTTTGGGAATTTGCGGATAAGAAAAAGAGTAAAACGCACCCCTAGCCTGACGCCCTGACTCTCGTTCTCGCAAACACGCCTACTCCTCTCGCACAACTCTCGTACTCGCTCTCACCTGCAGACGACGAAGACACAGCGGACGGCGGCGACCTCTTGGCTCCTGCTTCAACCGGCGACTTCCTCCTCCTGCTCCGGTACAAAATCTGAAATCCTAGCTTTGATTTTTCTGATTAATAGTATATTCCTACTTGTTTCCCTTGTCTTTCTGATTTTGCTGCAATGTTGTGATTGCTCCCATGACTAATCGAGTAACATGAATCTGGAAGAGTTTACATTTTAGTGTCATTTTGTTATTTTGACTTAGAGTTATATTCAAGAAATTGAAACCTGATTTCAGTGTGGGGATGAAGCTACTTGTACGAATCGGTCTTACCTTTCCGTTTCCCAAACCTATTTTCGGAAAATCAAATCCAGATCAAGTTGAATTTGCAGAAGTAGCTTCGTCTTCCCCTTATATTTGTTACTTGTGCTGCTTCCTTGGGTCATGTTAGCGACTTTTTAGTTGATACAGTGTTTCTTTTACAAAGATAATTGTAACTGAATTTAGTCATAAGCATTCAACCTAGTGCCTAGAAATGATTTGAAGACTTACTGATATACGATGATTGTTGGCACAATGAAGAATTATGTAATTAAATAAACAAGTTCAGATGCTTTTGGCTCAGTAGATTCTCTGTTTAAGGGATATGTCGACAATTTCAATTAAATAAACAATCAATTTTTAGTTCATTATCAATGAAAGAAACACTCATACATTGCTTACATAGATGGAGAGAAGAAGTATAGCTGAAGAGCTTTATTCAGAGATCTTGGAACCAAAAGCAGATATGAATCAAACATCATTTTCTGATGTAAAACAATCCAATTCACTAGGTATGAATCCCATGTTTACCTTTTTGTGACTTATACTAATTTTTTTTTATTATAGTTAGAAAGTAATTGAACTTAACCAAGACACAAATAAGAAATAGAAATGTTAAATGATAAATGATTAGAACAATAGTTGTTTAGTCTTCCCTATATTGTAGGCTTAACTCATTTTATATTGAAGTAATTATATTCCCTTATTGAAACATTTAAAATGAAAACAAATAGGAAGAAGGGGTTTTAAAACAATAGAGAAATGTTGTTGATGTCATAGACAGAAAATTACAGAATTCAACTTTAATTAACGATATAAATAATGTATGAAAATATTTAGTTAACATTTACATATTTAACATGTAACGAAATAAATGCTATAAATAGTAATCCACTTTCCTTTTTCTTATTATAGCATATTACATCCGTTTCTTCTTATTACAATTTACAACATTGTACTTTAAAATTACTTTTATTAGAGCATTGTACTTTGAAAAATCTGTTGAATTACACCATTTCATCCAAATACAAAGTGATTTTTACTGGTATAATTGGGTAAATATTTCAAAGTATAATGTCATAAAAAATAATACAAAATTGGGTGGATTTTTTAGAACACAATGCCATAAAAAGAAAAACTTAAAAGTATATTGTTGTAAAAGAAAGAAATGAAAGTAAGATGCTATAATAAAACCTTTATTTTTTATAATGATTTGGTAAATTTAACTTATCAAAACACATCGATTATAGGTTTTTTTTTTTTTTTTTTAAATGAAAAATTGTGAATTGGCAGGGAACTTTTTGGAACCTAAAAGAAAATTAAATGAGATTGATTGTTCTCCACTGGATGAAAGAAATAAAATTATTAACTACTGATTAATATAGAAATCTAGATATTGTATTATAAATTTCTTATTTCTTATAATTAAAATATGTTTTTATTTAAGCTGATACAGATTCTACTTACTTATTATTCTTAATGAATATTCTTTTTAAAATACAATTCATATGGATAAAATGTGTGAGATTTTTGAGTAAGATTATATTTTATTACATAATATTTCTTCTTTGCTTCCAATATTTTAAAGAGTTTCACAAAATTATTTCATTTATATTTTATAACTCAGAAGAATCTGGTGAAATTTGGTTCTTTTTTCATCATTTTGAAACCAAGTTTTTTCTAAAATCGCATTGCTTACTTAGAATGTAGGAAGAGGAAAAAAGAAAGCTTCTCATACTTCTATATTTGTGCACGTCTTATATTAAAATTTATTTTATGGATTTATATAAATGTGTTTAATATGTCATTTCCAAGTCAATAGTCAGACAAGTAAACACATTAATATTTACCTTTTTTTTTTTCCTATAAATATTAAATAGTACAACAAGGATAAAACATGAGTGATAAAACCTCTTCAAATAAAAACTTGTTTACTATTTCATCCACTACAAGTCACTCTAAATTATCAGATAGAAAGATGCAAATGGTATCAGTTAGGTGATTATAATATGATAACCCATTTTAATTCCTAAGCTATATTGTAGATTTTCAGATAATTTTGTTTAGGTGTAATCTTAAGGCTTTATACGCTTTATAGATGAATTCAAGTGTTTCCTTTAATTTTCACTGTATGTTCTTTTTTAAATTTTTGGATGAATGCATACAAGGTGTTTGATGAAATGCCCCATAGACTAAAACCACAACAATTTTAGTAGCTGATTATAAGATCATAAACCCAATTCCATATACTCTACAAATAAATAAAACTACATTGTTGCTATTTCTTGTAGAAGTTGAGGATGAACAATGGTGTGAAGATGAGTCATCATGGAATGGTTCAGATGAGAAACTTGATCAATCATCTGACCTAAATAGGGAATGGCAAAAAAGAAAAAACCAATTCCATGCGGTATCCTAATCCTCAGTTCATACAAAAAGAAAATTATATAAATTATAATAACATATAATTTTATTTTTTTTACCTAAATCTTAATAATTTATTGAGTAAATTACACGAATGGTCCCTATTGTTTAGGGTAATTTGCACGTTTGGTCCCTAACTTATTTTTTTAACTCGCAATGTCCCTATTGTTTGTTTGTGTTACGTGCTTGGTCCCTACTTTTTGTTTTTGTTAGACGTTTGGTCCCTGTCTTAAACTATTATTTAAATACGGAAAAATGGTGGGGTATGTAAGGTAAGGTGAAGGGGTGTGGTTGGGGGTATGTTTATTTAAATAAATTAAAAAATCATGGGCAAAATAGTGTTTTTAGGTACGATAGGGACCAAACATGTAACAAAAACAAATTGTAGGGACCTTTCGAGTTAAAAAAATAAGATAGAGACCATACGTGTAAATTACCCTAAACCATAGGGACCATTCGTGTAATTTACTCTAATTTATTAGATTGGATATCGTGATGGGCTTTTAGCTGGAAAAGAAGCTTCAGCGCAAGTAGGTTTTAATATCGGGTTCAAGGAATCTGTAATCGATGGATTTCATTGGGGTGTCATTAGAGGCGTTACTGGGTACTCTTTCTTCTCCTTTTTTTTTTTTTTTTTTTTTTTTTTTTTTTTTTTATTACGTTAAGTCAAAAGGAAACATTAATTTGTGTAGAGCTTTGGATTGCCTTCCTGATGAATTAAAAGAGAAGTTGATAGAATCAAAGGAAACAAGAAGCAAGTTTCATGAATTATATGGATCTGTGAATAATCTATCAACAACAGATGCACAAAAATTGTTTCAAAATGATGGTGTACTTGATAGTTACTCTGAAAAACTTGAGTCTCTTATTGTGGAATCCCCTACAATTGTGTTGCAATCAAGGGATAAGAGAAATGATGCTTCATCAATAGGGTCAAAAGCCTTTAATTCAATGAGTTAACAAGTTAAGCCCAATTCAAGGAGAAACAATTGTGATCAATTCACTATATTGTTAGTTTGAGATTATTTCGTTTGATTGATATATGATGCAAATATACTTTGTTTTATACACATATAGATGATATGATAGGGCTTCAAGTCTTTTCCTCTGTGAATATTACTAAAAAGGTAAAAAGGAAAGTCGGTGGTCTGACTTTGCTTTTCACCATTTTAGTCCGTGGACTTTTTATTTCTGTCACTTTTATCCCATTTGTTTGTAAAAGGACACTTTATACCCTTTGCTTTTCAAAATTATGTTTTTACCCCTTTAACTTTTAAAAACTTTCTAAATTATCACTCATTTCAATTTTCTAAACTTTTGTGTTTTTACTCTCAGCTTTATGAAGTATTACTTTCATTCTCTTCACTTTAAAAGAGTTCCTTTTTTTAAATACATTATTGTCGCTACAACCTTACACCCCTTTATTTTATGAACTTTCATGTTTTTTTTTTTTTTTTTTTTTTTTTTTTTAATATTTTCTTGCTTATCTTTAAGCATTTTTTGACATGGTTGTGATTCCTGATCTTTGTGTTTTGGCAACTTAAGTCCTATGTTTCTATATGCATGTCTTTGGTCCTGACTTTTGTGGTTAGGCCAACTTAAGTCCTCTTAAACTTATATTTTTACTGAAAGTGTTTTATTTAAATCCATTATTGGTGCTGCAACGCGTATCGAGAAAAATCTTGTAATTTGTGAGATACAATAATTTGTTTAAAAAACCAAAACTTTTTTCGTTTATGCTAAAACGTTATAAATTTTAGCAACCAATAAGTTGAATCACACAAAGCATAATATCAATCCCTTGCTATGTTGCAACAGATGTATTTGGCTTAGTGACATCAAGCTCTTGAAGAGGTGATCATCCCCCAAGAAGTTGAGGATTCAAGTTGTGTCGCAAAAAAATGCAGTTTAGAAATAGGATTTAGAGGGTGTGTGTTAGTTGTTCAAAAATAATAATAATAATAATAATAATAATAATAATAACACCAACAATAACAGCATGTTACGTTGTTGCATAAGAACCCAACAAGGAATCGACATTTGGTATTGGAACTTTCACACTACATAATATGCAAATTTCATTGTTGAAATTTAATGAAAATTTTGTAGTTGATAAAAAAAAACGGCACAATAAGCAAATTCATCATTTTGTGATGACGTGTTGTATGACATTTTTGACTATTTGGGATCGTTTAAGGGTTTGAAATGACATTTTTATACTTTTAACTTTTATTTCTCGAGCAACCGGGATCTTACAAGAGGTCAAAACTGTTATTGAAAAATTTCCAAAACCATATATCAACAACAATTTAAAGAAATGACGGATAAAAGTATGTTTTTCTACCATATAAAATCAATGTTTTTGAAGGTTTGACCCAAAGCTGTTCAACAATTCAATAGACCCACGCCACAACCAATCCCAAAATTGGCGGTTCAGCTTCAAACCGGACGGATTTCATAACTAGCTTCTAACATAATCTTGTTTGGTTTTAGATACCTTTTTTTTTTTTTTTTTTTTTCTGTGTTACATAAGCCTAGTTACCCATAGAAAACAAACCCAATGAATATTTGAATAATATGCTACACTTTTTTTTTTTTTTTTTTTTTTTTTCTTTTGTCTTTTGGTGATATATGATTACCCAAGACACCTACAATTGTGGTTGCAACATCAAATCATTGATCCTTTCTAAAAACAGTTGATGATTTCCTTTGTGCTACAGATGAATAATATGCTATAAGATTTCTAACATAAATTTAGAAAAAGAAAACACACACTAGATTAACATTACACAAACTTGATAAATGTTTAGAGGCAAGAATACCTCTACAACAACACATACATATAAGTAATTAAACACTTCGCTATAGGAAATCAAACTCAAACCACTTTAGATTTATTAAAATCCATCCTCATAGTTGTTTGATCACACAATATGCTTCTAGTCCATCCATTATCTTGTAATCAACGTACCTTCTTCACCTGCATACGCATCAAGCTATTTGTTAAAAGAATCCATCTCCTTCAATTTGCCCTATTGTACTTGGATTTTAATGGAAATTTGTTCTTATATACCTTGGAATCAATAATATCAGCTGCAAGCTTGCATGAGTCTTGCATTTGTGAACGCCTTTGAAG